CATTTGAAAAATGCTCTTAAATTTTTTCACTTAGCATTGTATTGTAAACACAAAACATAGTTAGGTGCTTACAAGTTTTCAAACCTTAAAGTTGGTCGAAATGAGTATGAATTCTTTTTATAAATAAATAAGCATGTTCTAGTCACGGTTTACTGGAATAATTGACTACATGATCATCAACCAAAGCATGATGTACTCAACTCATGCCAAAAGTATACCTCAAAAAAAAATCATTCATGCCAGGCGGTGGTGGGGCACACCTTTAATCCCAGCATTCTGTGAGTTTGAGACGAGCCTGGTCTATAGAGCAATTTCCAGTACAGGCTCCAAAGTTACAAAGAAACTGTCTCGAAAAACAAAATAAAAAGCATTTGTTTAAATAATCCTCTATTTATAGCATTTTAATGTATTTAGTTTGTTTTAGTGTATGCCATTTATTGAGAATTAATTTTAAACCAAATTGTCCTGGCTCTTCTTGTCCTCTATGATTCTTTTTGTCCCGTGATTGAAGAAAACAGTTCATTACCTATTGAGTCATGAGCAGACATAAATCAGAGAACAACAGTCCGAATCCCATTTAGTGCCCTTTCTACTAATCGCATTAGAAGCATCATTTATCTTGTCCCAAGATCTGTTGTTTGGTTGAATTAAGGGTGCGTTTCAGTGATCAAATGCTGGTTTGTGTCGTTCCCACTCCCTGGAACAGTAAGACACTGATATTTGTATCCACAGTACATTCCTGGGCACCACACTCTAAGGGATTCGTGGTGACAAAGACCCCTGTCTCCTCACCCCAAAACGAGGGTCACAGCCAAAGGTCACAATCTAAGTATACAAAAGCAAATAAATTATGACTAGTTCCACTTAAGCTGTCATAAAAATGAAGTCTCAACAGTGATCTCTCCTCATACCATTTCTAATCAGTAAAAACCATATTCCATACTTTGAAGAAAAAAAAGGTGAGGCTCCCAACAGCATGGGTTATGAAATGGACAAATGCACTTAAAATGTATGAAGTCAGCTTAAAACATGTACAAGCCAATTCAGTAAACTCAATATACTAATTTTCCTTTAGAGTTTTAGAATTCCAAATAGAGGGTAATTGGGGTTTTTTACTCCAGATCTTTTTAAAAATAACATTTCCAGATGTGTCTCCTTTTCTTCTTTACGTTCCAATGTACAGTCCTTTGAAAAGGTAGAAGGGAGTGTGTACAGCTGTTTCCAGAGAAACCAGGGGAAGAGGCTGGTGTTGGCAGGGTTCCCTCAACCCCTTCTCAGTTTCTCATATGGTTCCAAGCTGCCTTGGTGGCATCAAGGTGATTTACCAGTGCCCTCTCCTTCCAACTCATCAGCACTTTTGGTGTCCTGTCTCTGTGCCTCACAGGAGAATTGGGTAAATAAACACATAAGGAGAATATTTTAAAGATGTTGTGGTTGACCTGGTAAGTTTGAATATACAGGGCACAGCAGGCAATAATAATTTGCCTCTGAAATGATCTTGATGTTCTGGGTGCCCCTGTAAAGTGATGGGCATCTGTAGGGTCTTAGCCCAAATCAGCCTTCCATTGTTGGGCTGGGCCCGAGGAACGGTGAGGTGCCTGTCGCACCTGCTGTGTGGCCTGCATCCGAGAATGTAGTGAGGTGGTCGGGATAGATGACACAGAGACCAGTCGGTTGCTTTAAGAAAACTTTATGCTTCCCAAGTCAGCTTAGGAGGAGACCCCAGTCCGCTTAGGAGAGAGCTCTCAGGAGAAGTCTCTCCAAGAAAAAACGCTTCCCTTTTTAAGGACTTCTGCCATCCATCTACATACAATTCTTTCCAGACTTCTCACCCTCCTGGCTGGTGGTTTAATCTCCAGCCCCAGAATCGGGGAGACACAGCAGGGGGGACAGGAAAAGGCATCTAGCCGTAGGGGGTGTGAAAGTCATGGTATCTCAGTGAGTGAGCCCTTATCTGAGCCCTATCAAGAGCTTTAAAGCACTGAATTGTTTTCAGTAAACATTACATAGCTGCCTGCTCCCAGGCCAAAGGGGAAGTGGGTTTCTGCTCAAGGTCTGGTGTCCCCACAGGTGCCCTATGTTTTACCAAGTGAACAGGGTGGGGGATGTTCATGCAGTGACCTCATCTGGTCCGATCCAGTCAAACAATCATCTTAGTTTTGTAAACTCAGGACGTGCCCATGTGACTTCCCTTCAGGGCCATCTTTGACTGGCTTGTGGGCCCTACAAACATCTACAAGGTAGGGCCTGGAAGAAGATGCGTAGGGCGTTGAGGGAACACACTTGGGAGAGAACATAGAGCTCTTGCCTCCTTGTTCACCATGTCAATATGTGATTCCTTGGCATGGGCACTCGTGACATGGGCACCCACCCACCATGAGGTGACACAGCCAAGGGGTCCCTAGTCACAGGCTGGCATTGGACTTCCAGATCCTAACCCTGTGAGCTAAATAGTTCCCTTTGTTAAATGAGCTGCATGTGGAAAGATCTTCGCAGAAAGAGCCCAGGTCTCCAACTGACAGGCCAGTTAAGCAGCCATCCAAGAGCCAGTGGCATTTAGATAAACATGACTTAACCATTTTGAGTCACACTGGCTGACACTGTGTGGGACAAAGGAAAGCTGTCCCTGTTGCATCTTCTTCCCACTGAAGATTTGAGAGCAGTTAACCAAAGATTTATGCTGTGAACTATCCCCCTACTGTGTAAGATGTGTCACTGACTGGCTTAACAAAAACAACAACAACAACAAAACTGGATGGCCAATAGTTAGGCAGGATCTCTGGGCAGAGAGGATGCTGGGAAGAAGGCGGCAGAGCAAGCAGGATGGGCACCATGGAGATAAGGTAATAAAGTCACAAGGCAGAAGGTAGACTAATAGAAATGGGTTAATTTAAGTGATACGAGCATTTAGAAACAAGCCTGAGCTATCAGCTGAACTTTCATAATTAATAAGTCTCCATCTCATTAATGGGGAGCCAGCAGTCCTGACAAGAAAGGCTGACCACAGATTTAAATGATAGTTACATTGACCTAACAAGTTTGTTAAATAGAAACAGATAACTGCAAAGAGAAGGGTAGAGGAAAACAACAAACAGTATTTCAAGTTTGGACAAACAGAGGATGACACATTTTGTAGAAAAGAAAGTGAGAAGACCGAATATTCAGGGGGGTGGGTATGGGAAAGTGGATGGATGAGGAGTATTGCTGGAAAACAATGAAAATTATCATTTGGGTTTAGTCCAAATCATTGATCCATTTATTAGACATGGTGTCATATCTACCGCTATAAAAATGTAAAATCCAATTAAATCTACAGTTACTTGCAAGTTTATCTGAGAATCCACATAGCTGATAGTGAAAACTTTTATGCTGAGAAAATATTAGATTCGCTACTAAATTAATTGAATAGTATATTGTAATGACTGTCATAAAAACAAGAGTTATGCAAAAAAAATTTGAAGGTCACCAATGGTCTTTTTATTCTCCCCAGGAAGTAAATTCCCTTCAAGAGTCTGAAACAGCAATATCAAAACTGCCTGGGCTTTCTCCTTACTTGCAAGTTTAATACGGCTTCCAATCCTATTCAGCAAGTTCCAGCAGAGGTCACATTTGTGAACAGGTATGATCCCATCAAGGAAGAGGGAGCAGAAATACCACAAGAACCAGAGGTAATGGACATTTACAGCAAACAGTATTTGCCAGAAACCACAGGGCTGTCACACATATGAGCACATAGTAGCTGTGATTGCCTGCACAAGACCTGTACAAGATCTCTCCAGCCAGAATTGCCACATGGGCAAAGGGAGGAGCTCATAGAGTCCCACCCACCAACCGAGGAACAACTGGCAACTGATGGCTGCTTGGGGAGGGAGAGCCCCTGACAGGCAAAGCATGGTCCATTGCCTTGCCGTACACCTACGCACATGCTGACCAGCATTCACTGGACTCAGCGGGTTTCTCAAAAAAGCGTACGTGAAGCTGGATGCAAAAAGTGGTAGGGGGATTTGGGAAGGAATTGGATGAGAGGGTACGGAGGCTGTATTTGACCAAAATATGTTATATGCATGTGTGAAAGTTTCAAATAACTAAAAAGATAAAATATACCATCCCAGATAAGTAAAGTTTAAGTGAGGATAATTATATTTAAATTCATAGAAATGAGTGTGTGTGTGTGTGTGTAATAGTGATATATCTACTAAAGGATGTCCACTAAGATTATGCACACATGCAGATTTAATTTAAATGCTCACTGTGTTATACAAGGTAGCCTCAAGACAGGTGTCACTGACCTCTTTTTTCTCCCCAAACAAGCAAAACTCCCAAGTGATTTGTCATTTTAATCAATAATCTTAAAGACTTTCACCAATACTCTTAAAGAAAACTAGCACTGGAATGAAGGATGTTCCTCTGTTTGTTTGTAAATACCCTAAATGTTTATAGACTATAAGCCTTGCCTTTACTGAGGCCCCTGCTGCAGGATTGTTTGCAGCAAATGCCTTCTGCCAGCCCGTTGATGTGGCAGTTTGCATTCTGCCCTCTCTCTGCTTTGCTAAAGAGAAACATGACAACTGCTTTTAGTAAAAGCTTCAGTAAATAGACACCAGAAGTTGAAATTGGAATTATTTAACTTCTCTCAGTGTGTCAAAAAGTTTTAAGGACGTAACCCTAGCATCTCTCTAGTGAAGCAAAAGTCAATATATTTTCACAGCACTTAACTTTTCATGGAATGGCTTTCACCTTTTCCACAACAGGTCAACACAGAAAACATTTGAATCCCTTTCATCTGCTATCCCATTAACTGAAAATATTCTTTGTATGTTCAATGCCTGTCACATCGGAAGACAGGGAGCAGAAATGACAGGAGGGGAGGCAGGAAAGGGAGAGAAACGGGAGGGGCTCTGTCAGAAAGCTACTGTTGATCCGCCCTGAGATTTAAACTGATGCTTGGGCTCATTTTCTGTCACTTACAGCCTCTGTACAAAATACCACACAAATATATGTGTGTGCCTCAAGGGGCTTTATTTCACAAATTGGGAAAATGAAATTTGTACAGGGGAAACGTGATTTGAAATGTGAAGCCCATCTCTTCTCTCAGTACACAAGCGTTGTCGCTGGTGGGCTTGACGATGTTGCTTTCATCGGGGACCCCCGAGCAGGCTAAACATCCAGTTGTTGCTAGGTCCCGCTGCTAAAAGGATGACAACCACTTGAATGCCCTTTCCCAACCTGCTGTGGTCATTAACAACCCTCAGTAGAAGTTAGCTTTAATTTGCAAAGCTTCAAGAAGTCCTGCTCACTGTGCCCCACAGCGAGTGCCCGCAGTGGGTCTCGGGAGAGGCTGTCATAAAGATCAGGATGACCACTGTAGTCACCACCAGTCCCGGACACTCGCCAAGGTTTCTGTGTGCTTCATCACTGTGCTGGATGAATTGCACCAGGCTGGAATGACAGTGATATGGCTGTTTTGCAAATAAGGAAGCAGAGATTAAGTAATCCTGTAAGGGGTCAATTCTGGGTTTCAGCTTTACGGTCTTTCCACAATGTCCGCCTGCTCACACGCGCAACTATGGCCTGTGCTGAAAAAGCTGCATGCATGGTCAGCGTCACCACGGTGGCCGGTTGATAGTACAGGATTCTCACGTTTCTTTAGATAAACCGACCTTCACGATTCTCCTGCAGAGGGCCTATGTGGGGAGAGGCTGGAGATCAGGAGGAGGGGGAGGGGAGCAGGAGGGGGTAGCGGGGCACAGATTATCAAGGTATTTTTGTATCTAGACCAGCATTTTGTACAAGACCTGGAACTCACGTGCCCCTTCTTTATTGATGTCAGTGTGGTGAGCCTTATAAATTGCGCAGAACCACTCAGGAAACCCAACAGTAAACGTCGAATCGCAGAATTGTGGGACAGGATTAATTCTACACACTCGATATCAAGCCTTGGGTTTGATATTAGGGATATGTCAATCCCAACATGTAGTTTCTTGATACCCACAAGGCCAGAGTTATACCTCAGCGTACCTGTGCCCGGAATGTACCATTGCCTGGAATGTACCTTTGCCCGGAACGTACCATTTCCCGGAATGTACCTTTGCCCGGAATGTACCATTGCCCGGAATGTACCATTGCCCGCAACGTACGGTCGCCGCGAACATCACCATTGCCCAGAACGTAATGTTGCCCAGGAAAACAAACTGTAATAATGTCACTGGGATGAGGAAGGGAACAAACACTAATCGCTTGGTTGCTAAATTGGCAAATATTTAGTGAGTATCGGGTTACCTTCCAGCAGACAGAAATTCTGATCCATCCAAGGACAAACAGGCTCCCTCTTTCAAAAATAAATGTCAAAATGTCGTTCTGTTAGGAGTCCCCAAAGGGAAACCGATGCACTTTAAATTCCATCGACGGTCTAAAATGGAGAAGGAATGTAGGAGACGCTTTGAACATGCGTGGGTACTCTTACGTACAGCTAAGGTATTTTAATTCCACTTCCAAATGTTCTCGGTGTTGAGTAACAACGAGGAGCTGTGAAGAGGGATAGTCAGTCACCATGCTTTTCCAGGAGCACTGCGGGAGTGGAGGAGACTTTCTGATTTAACTCTTCCTTGTGTGCTCTCCTGTGATATAACTGCAAATACACCCTTCTGTTTGTGCTTCCATCCCTGTGGTCTCCTTCACGTGGAGGAACTAGGATCCCTAGAGAAAGAGTATCACAGCTACAAAGTGAGCACAGCTCTGCCGCCCGCCCGGGCTGCCATTGTGGTCCCGGCTATCAGCCAGAAGCCAGAAGCTGGTAAATTGACTACTGTTAGGAAATAGTTTTCTGAGACTCGTATTTCAAAACGTAGAGAAGAGAAGCAGATGACACTACCTTTTTTTCCTCTCTCTTTTGGCTTAAACTGAGAAACTGGAAAATCACACCAGATGTGCTATGATGTTTCTCTGTAAATACATGCTGCTCGCTGAGGAATAGCACATGCAGTGCAGAGGTCAGAGAGGTACTCCTCAAAGTGTGCTTTGGGCTTTGTTTTGTTTTTAAAATAAATTATAACTTTCTATTGTGATTAAAATACTTGCAAAGATCGACAGGGCAAAAACAATGAATTCAATGTTTTTATAGTTACTGTGACTTGTGAAACCCCAGTTCCCCATAGAACTGATTTGTGGGAGATTGGCACAAAATTCCTGGGGGAGACGTTGTTCACAACAAACCCTGGGAGCAGCTGAATGAATTGGCATTGGTGTATCTGACACGTTTACCACAAGTCGTTCATTCTCGCATGGGAATTAGGGTGTTTTACATTTGCTGGTTTTAAGTCTCAGTGTCCAGTCCTCTCCATCGGGCGGCATCCTGTTACTGTATGTACACGTGTACAAGAGCACATACCCTTTCCCACATACACCATAAAGCCATTGGTGACTAGATGGGTTTCAGAGAGCACGGGGGATTCTAAACTCATGGCAGTAATGACTGGGTTGAGGGTTGAGCACAACACCTCTGTTAGGCCAGTCAGATGCATTACTAGACCTCTTCTTGTGAAAGTTTTCCCTTATTCAATCTAAAACTTTCAGGACATAATCATTGAGCTCTTGGCTGATGTTTTCTGCCTCCATGAAAGAAAGACACAATGAAGAATAAGTCAGCCCAGAGGAAGACAGGGAGAGGGAGAGAACAGTAAGAAGAGAGAATTCTGGGAACTTACTACTGTGGGATTGAGGAGTTAGTGAGTTTCCAAATTAGTTAAGCTAGGCTCCTCTCTTGATTCATTCTGTTGCAATCAAGAAAGCACAGCCATTCCGTGAGAAACCACCTTATGTTGAGAGCATTGCAGAAGTCCCATGGGAGATGCAGCCCCAGGCAGGATCTTGGAAGATGCTAAGCTGGAGCAGAAAGAGATGTGGACAGAGAGATGCTGACCATGTGACCTTATAACCCAACGCATTGGTTCAGTGAGAGCATGAGGATAGCCATGGGGTCTCTAAAGTTTAGGCTACTTGAATGACTCCAGGCCGGTCTGCCGTCCCAGCTACTTCATGTGGACTCCAGTCTGCTCCATTCCCCTCACAGCGTTGCACCTGATGAGGGTAGTCCCTGATAAGAGTTATGTTTCATGTGTTCTGACACACAGCCTGGAGCCTGAATGACAGAGACTGTGTGCACGGTGGCCATGGAAACAGAAACAGAGGCACCAGCCTTTGAAGATGAGAAGCTTACCTCCCAGTCTCAAAACCTTGGCCAGCAGCCAGCCTGGGAATGTCTTCTTGAGCTCAAGGACATTAGACTAATTAAGAAGCATCACCACTGAGCACTTAAGCTTTCTCTCCTCTTTCTCCCTCTCTCTCTCTCTGTGTATGTGTGTGAGTGTATGTGTGTGTGTGAGTGTGTGTGTGAGTATGTGTGTGTGTATGTGTACATATGTGTGCACGCCACCAGAGATGGGATGGGTGTTAGGTGTCTCCCTCAATTGCTCTCTACCTATGTTTTGAGACAGGGTCTCCACTAGAACCGGAGCTTTAAAGCACACACTGTCTCATCTGGCTTTTTATACGGATGTTGGGGATCCACCCTCATGGGCTCTCACTTGTACGGCAAACACTTTCTGGAGTGAACATCTTCTTGGGTCGTCTGGTATCTTTAAGCATAGTTAAAAGGACTTGTTATATCAAAACCCATGTTAAAAGATATAATACAAGGTTTACACAATGGTGCTGCTCCTTGTTTATTTTGTTACTTGTTACATATGCCAATGCTTTGTGCTCTGTTTTCTTGTTTCTCGTGAATGCCCTATAGACTGCTTTACATTGTTTTCAGGGCCCACTTTTTAATCCAACCCTGAAAAACCACTGTCCTGACAGTGCTGGGCGTCACCAGCAGATGTCACTGTGGGTGACCATGCCTGCCTAGAGGCCTCTGTAGCTGATGCTGGCAACAGTCACTCTCTGCTGAGAACCACAGTCATGACTTTGCGATGTGCATTTTAAAGGCCTTTTTTTTTTTTAATGGTTCTAGAGGGGTGTACAGTGAAATTTCTCCTAATTCATGCATCGCAAGCTTTTCCATCATAGGCAAATCTGTTACTACTCTCCTGTACTCCCCACCCCAGGATGTCTTATGGTTATACAAGCAACTACATACACACACACACACACACACACACACACACACACACACACTTCCCCCTTTATTTACAAAAGGCCAGCATCGCTGTGCTTGCGTTTTGTATGCGTCCTCTCTTTTCTTAATATACTTTGGGAGCTACAGAGGAGCAGAGTTCTTCCTGTCTGTGGTTTTATATTTAACAGTACACAGTGCCTTTGTTTAATTAGGTAACTACCACACACACACACACACACACACACACACACACACACATGCAAGGTGTTTGTATGGTCCCTGGTTTGTTTATGAAAATGATTTATGGATGTACCGCAGCTGCGGTTTCTCACTCTCCAGCCTTGAGCCATCAGATTTAAGACAGAAATTGTCGTGCCTGTATTCTCTTCATTGAGCCGCCTTGCCCCTTTCCTGAATTCCGCATCAACCACACCAATTTCACTGATGCTCTTGGATCTCCACATTTGCTTGGTATCTGGTTATTTAAGTGTAAGATTTGCCAACCCTGGAAACTGGATTGCTGTTTGCCCATGCCATATCTGGAGTCCCCTGGGGTCTCCTGTTCTTCTGAACTTTTACCTGTCTCAGAACTTTGAAAAATAGTCAACCCAAAAGATATATGTAAAAAGGAGGGTAAAACTTTTTTCACTTTTATTAAACTTTTAATTTTTCATATATGTATTCAAGGTTACCATCCCAGGACACACACACACACACACACACACACAATTTTAACAAGTAAATAATACATTTTTATAGGTTTCTAGTCTCCAAAGGGACTGCAGGCTTTGGCTGCCAGCTTGAAGTTCTGTGACACTTCTAAGTTTCTCCCAAATCTCTTCTTGTTACATTGTCCACTTGAGTCTGATGGTTGTATTGACCTCAAGAGGCCCTGCTCCAAATTGGCTCCTTCTCTGGGGTGGAGAACAAAATATTCTGTTACTGAACCAATTCTTTCTTGTTCTTCTAGCCATTAGATTGTCAGGTTTGGCTTGTGTCTCAGGACACTGCAGAGCCCCATGACTACTGTTCCACATGGTTCTCAGTCTGTGGGTCACAACCCCTTTGGGAGTCATCAGCCCTTTCACAGGGGTTGCAAATCCTGCACATCAGCTATTTACATTACAATTCATAACAGTTGCAAAATTACAGTTGGGAAGTAGCAATAAAATAATTTTGTGGTTGGGGGTCACCACAACATGAGGAACTGTATTAAAGAGTCGTGGTGTTAGGAAGTATAAACCTCTTCTTTAGATGAAGAACAGCTTGTAGCAGTGATCAGCTTTGAGAGGAGTTTGAGGACAGGGCGTATATTAGCCTTTGTTCTCAGTTCATTGTTTCTACAACATTAGGAACCAGAGTTCAAAATGTGTTTTTCTTCTTCCTGCTATAGTAGATGGGAACTAACCCAGAGAGCCACAGCTGTACAATGAGCAGAGAGTGTTGGGAACGCACAGCCCTAAATGGAATGTCTTCATGGAACCCCTCCCCTTGGGGCTAGGGAGGAAGAGGAAAGATTGTAAGAGTCAGAAGGCATGGATGATACCAAGGAAACAGTCTTCCAGACACAACAGGATTGGTGTTCATATGAACTAAAGGAGACTGTGACAGCATCCACAGGACCTGGACGGGTCCATGGGAGACTGTGTCCCAGCAAGGGAGGGACAAGTGAACTTAGGCTCCCGTCCCTAATCAAGAATCTATCTCTGGTTGACAACCATGTACAAAAGAAAATTTAGTTCTCCATTGGAGACTCACTGGGTTTATAAACCACACTAAAACCAGAGGAGGCCCGCATAAACACGCTCAGACGTAATTTTGGAGATTTTTTTTTCTTGTCTCATACTGCTTTACTTGGGCATTTTGTACCTTACTTACTGGATTTTTGCTTGTATGCTATGGTTTCTGATTTTCTGTTTTTATGGTTTTTGTGTTTGTGTGTGATATATGTATGTCTGTGTGTATATGTGTTTTTAATGCTTTCCTTTTAAAAATCTTGTTTGTTTCTTGTATTTGGCTGTTTGTTTTCTAAAGAGAGAGAGAAAGGAAGAGGCAGGGAGATGGGAGGATGAGGAAGTGAGGAGGGCCTGGGAGGAGCTGGGGGAGGTGAAACGTCTTTTCAGTTTTAAAACGTGTGCTTTTCTTATAGTTTTGTTACACATTCTTCTATCATTGATGTTGTAAAAGCAATGTGAGGCATATCCTTTGACTTTTTAGAAACCTTTCTCTGTTCGTTTATCTATTTACTTATCCACTTTGACTAAAGCAAGGCTTTGCATTCCTTCTAGTAGTTACCTTTCAGGATTCCACTTACTGAGGATGTGGAGTCTGGGAGCAAAGCTGGAATCCATAAATATTTTACCAGTGCCAAACCTGCCAAGCCAGCTGCTGTATATAACCCTTACGCTGTCCCCAGTAGGTCAACCCACGGACCTCAAATGACAGCTATACGGCTCCTTCCAAATGCTCTGTATGCCACCAAAAAGTCTGCGTGTTGGATATACAGCCATGGGTTCCCTGATGCACTCCAGTTGTTTACACATTCATAAAGCAAAGCAACAGCAAATATTTCAGCCT